TAGGTGCGACGTTCTGCAGCAGGAAAAGAGATCACCCTGATTAGGGGAATCAAGGTGAGGGGAAATCGTCTAAAAAGAATCGAGTAAAAATTGCTGCTGGGCATTGGTAAACTGCTTTGGGTGATGGCTGGAAGATTTCGAGATTGGTTTCATTGTAACTTTTCATTTAGGAGAAAATTTCCCCTCTTGGATATTGAGAAATGAACTTCTGAGTTACTGGAAAGCACCAGTATTCAGAGGGGGACTAACCAAATACATGACCACACACAAAAGCTTCATCCTGTAATGAAACCAAGTGGCTCTATCATTGCATAATGTATTTTTGGAAGAGACACAGCATCTATCTCAAGCCTGTGAAGAAGAGCCCCAGCATCAGCTGTGTTTGAAAACTGGAGCCCTGCAGTGTGCCTCAGGAAGAGGCAGGCAGCTCTGTGATCCTCAGTTGCTTATCCGTAGCTGAAAGCCACTGTTCCTAATCGCAGAAGCGGACCTGTGCAAAGGGGCAGGTGGTTTATTAGACTCATGTAACCATGTCTGTTTAGTTGGCCTGTTGGAAAGAAACTAAATGCTGTTCAGGTCTTGCTCTGAAGGCTACTGACCTGCTGCATGTAATTCTGGGAGGATAAATATTCACTGTATCCTGCCTCCCTGCAATTCTTCAGAATAGCAGGATTTGCTGTAGTTTGGGATGTGTGCTGTGTAGTTGCAGAAAAACTCGCAGTTCGGGTAGTCTGCGTTTTGTTTCTGCACTTCCAAAGTGCTAATGACAAGGGCCTTCTCAATTTTCAGGAATAATAATAATAATAATAATAATCCCAGGAGAACTTTATAACCAACATGAGTGTGGATAAAGGGGTTTCATTTAGAACCTTAGCTGTGTGAACAAAAGGCAGAGTCATTAGTTAAAACTCTGATGTTCCTGTCTGGCTTGCATTTAATTAGCAGATCTCTTGCTGTGATCATAATGTTTGCAAAGGCCTGGCTAGAGCCAGCCAGCTCTGACCACTGCCCAAGGATTTTCGTTTCTGTTTTTCAGTGATGAACCAGTGGCAGATATTGAAGGACACAGCATGAGAGTGGCACGTGTGATGTGGCACCCATCTGGGAGGTTCCTGGGTACTACCTGGTATGGAGATGTGCTTATTTGCCTTAAGACATTACCATTAGCTGTCCAGCTGGTAGCCTAGTGGGTACCATTGCTTGTCCGCAGAGGAGCCCAAGCATGGGCAAGGTTTGGTCATTGTTGACGACGGCTGTTGCAGTGTAATTAACAGCAAGTCATTGGGGTTCCTTTCTGTGCCCCTCATGTGAGATGCTGTTGGTCTCCAGCTGGAAATAAAATGCCCACAGAGTTAGTGAAATATCCTGTTATTCTCCTTGGAGATACACTTAGTTGGACAAAATGCTTTGTTTTTACAGCTACGATCACTCGTGGCGCTTGTGGGACTTGGAAGCTCAGGAAGAGATTCTCCATCAGGAGGGGCACAGCAAAGGGGTCTATGACATTGCCTTTCACACGGATGGGTCTCTCGCTGGGACTGGGTGAGTTTGCTTTGCATCAGGACTGGACGTGAATTATTATCAAGGTTTTGTTGTTGACTGATGCCAAGTGCCCCAGTGATTTCTGCGGCTGAGGCTGAGCGTTCTCTGGCAGTTGCTGAAGTCTCTGACGGGTGATGCTTGGGTTCTCTCTTCCTAGTGGACTGGATGCTTTTGGCCGGGTGTGGGACTTGCGCACAGGACGCTGTATCATGTTTCTAGAAGGCCACCTGAAGGAGATTTACGGGGTTAACTTCTCCCCAAATGGGTAAGAAAGGAGCTTGCATGGTTTACGTGGGAGGTCTGAGTACAAACCGCAGCTTCCAACAATGTGTCCTTCCTCCACCCTTTGGCAGATACCACGTTGCAACTGGCAGTGGTGATAATACTTGCAAAGTGTGGGACCTCCGCCAGAGGAAGTGCATCTACACCATTCCTGCCCATCAGAACCTGGTGACTGGCGTGAAATTTGAACGTAAGAACCTCCTGTCTGATGTTCCTTATCGCTGCCACTCCTGAGCTGAGGTGGCAAGGGGATGGGGCAACTCAAAAACACATCTTCAGGTCAAGAAGGCCTGTACTGGTTAGCTGTAGAAGATTGGTCATGTTTTTATTTGTAAATCTCACTTCTCCCTTTTTCTCATCCTCTACTGCAGCCAATCACGGTAACTTCCTGCTCACAGGCGCTTACGATAACACCGCAAAGATCTGGACTCACCCTGGCTGGTCCCCTTTGAAAACGCTGGCTGGTCATGAGGGAAAGGTGATGGGACTGGATATCTCCCTCGATGGCCAGCTGATAGCGACCTGCTCTTATGACAGAACCTTCAAGTTGTGGACAGCAGAGTAGCTCAGAGGTGCTGATGATGAACTGGAATGGAGACGTTAATGGCTTTTGATCTAAGACTTGCTTTTTTTATATTAAAGAAAAAAAAGGAATCGGCTATTGCAACATGCATTACGGCAGCTGTAGTCACTGGCTGGTCTTGGGTTGAGGTGGTTTTGAAGCACCTGTGCTTGCCAGGGCTTGATTGGAGTCACATCTCGGGTGGTGTTTTTCCACTTTTTAGGACTTTGTTTTTATACTGCAGATACTGCTTTCTGCTGTAATTTGGAGATGATCCATCTGCTTCTGCCCTCCCTTCCAAGTTAGGCTCACGGGTTTTCTGCAGCCTGTTTCAAACATTTGTAGGTAGCCACACAATGCCTCAGGTACAGTGTGTTGTACAACCTCTGTTAATACAGTTCTTGCCTTCCATTTTTTCAGGAGCCTTTGGTAGGAGTCTGGCTTCAAACTTGACTTGCATTTAAAGAAAGAAAAAAATAGCTGTCGGAGTTAGCGGAAGATGGTACCCCGTTTCCCCTGCCTCTGCAAAGGTAGTTTCTGACTGTGGAGGTGTCTACCTGCTTTGTATTCACTTACAGTAGATGGTAAAACCTGGGGAAATTTTTCTTTTCCATGTACCATCTCATGTCCTGGTTCCTTGTGCTGTCTCATGAACTGGGTGTTTCAAATCCATGTAGGCATCTCCTGGTTAAGTTTTTGCTGTGTCTCACCTGGGATGATACAAAGGTGGCTATTTCAGTGTAGGATTGTCTTGTTCTAAGACACTGTACACTGTAGGGAGCTTTCTTGTTTTTTGTTTATTTTTTAAATTGAAGTTTTGCAAATGTTGTGTTCTGGAAAATCAAAAACATGTTTTGAATGTGCACCCTAGCTTCTGGGTCTGACTAAGGAAAGGAGGAATAACAGATACTTCACAACACACAGTTTGATTTCTGCCTGCTATTGTAAAAAAACTTCAGGACAAAAGAGAAGACAGATTCATCTCCCCATTGACAGCTGGAGAGCAGCTGTCCATGTTCCTTGGGAATGTGAACAGAGTTCTGTTCTCAACAATTGCAATGCAGTTGGAGATCATGTTTTAAGGAGGAAAAAAAAAACACAACAACAACAAAAAACCAACAAAAAACCCCCTCACAAGTTACTTGTCTTCTAGTGGTGTTGTGGGCTTTCTTCTCCCTTCCAGGTAGTGTGGTGGCATCTACCACGTGCTGTATGCTAGCTCTTAGTTACTCCCAGGGAAAATACTATGAGACGAGAGCCCAGCAACTGACACAGAAAAATATTTAATTACAGTCTCCTCTTGTACAAGCCTGGACAGCCAGCTCTGTGTGCTCAGGCTGGTTCTTCAGTCTCATAAAGGGTCAGCTAAAGGGCCTGCCCGAGCCTGGCAGCTGGGCAGGGGGCTCCCAGCTGCGCTGCCAGGACAAGCTCCCCCCAGGGTGTTTCTCATCAGGTTGCCATTCATGGGACCATCCTGGTCCAGCAGTCACCCAGCAGGCTCCCACACCTCTAGCAGGCTTAGGATGACATTTTGGACACCAGTGAATTCTCCGGTGTTGTTCCTGGGGTATACATCCCAAGCCCAGGTTTCTGTCACAGTGTTCAGCTCCACTCAACTGGAACAAGGGGAAGGGGGCTGAGCGTTCCCTGTCCCATGCCCTGGCACCCACCATCAGCACTGCCCCTTGGCTCCTTGCAGCTCCTCTCCTCCCTTAGCCCCCATCACGTACAGCTAGCCTGCATGGGGGTTTTGTAAATAAAACACGCAAAGCTTGCTCAGGAGCAAGAACTTGATCTAAATGCATCTGTGATTTGGCTTTTCTTCTAGACAGCTCTAGTGCCTTCCTACCACCCACAAACTGAAACCAATAAACCTGCCCCCCTGCTGATAAACCTGCCCCCCCGCTGATCACACATCACTGCTCTACAGGCACAATGTCTCCTGGCGCTTGAGTCAGGGGGAAGCTCTCAGAGAGTCACGTCCCCTCGCAGGACAGTCTCTGCCAGAAAGGTTACTATGATCAAAACACTGCCACCTCCTCCAGGGCTGGGTCCATGCCGTCACTCATCTGGAGAACATGGATTCCTGAGTTAAAACTGGCACAGAGCAGTGTGGAGCTGTCACAGACAGCCAGTGAGGCCAGCGGTCCCGATCCCTCGAGGCACAAGGTGGCCAGGCAGGCTGGGGAGGGAAGAGAGAAGTCACTTGGGACACTTGGTTTGCTGACCTGAGACATGACCACACCAACCTCCCACCTCCTGGCTCTGCCCATGTGCATCCATCTGCTCGCCTGAGGCAGGGGAGCTGCACCCCTCGCTGACCCAGATCCCCACATCCAAAGGCATCAGGACATGCCCTCTGGAAGAGAGACCCTCCACCCTGTAAGCCCCGCAGGGATCTGGGTGCTGCCCAGATGGGCAGTGGCCAGCTAACAGGGATCCAGGCTGTGGTCAGGCTCTGCCCCTTCCCTGGAGAGGAAACGGGGATGGATGGATGGATGGATGGATGGACCGACAGACCCCACTGGGCAGAGCTGCAGGGCTCCTGTGGAGGCATTCCCAACATGCCTTTTTCTCCCAAATTGCTTACAGTCCAGAAAAAATTTTCCTAAGGGCTGTGCTACACTCACTAACAGGGATCCAGGCTGTGGTCAGGCTCTGCCCCTTCCCTGGAGAGGAAACGGGGATGGATGGATGGATGGATGGATGGACCGACAGACCCCACTGGGCAGAGCTGCAGGGCTCCTGTGGAGGCATTCCCAACATGCCTTTTTCTCCCAAATTGCTTACAGTCCAGAAAAAATTTTCCTAAGGGCTGTGCTACACTCAACATGCAGTTT